CCGCTGGATTTTGCATACCCTGTCATATGTTAAGGCTTACCAAATCAAGTTTGTGTCCCCAAATGTCCTTAGGTATGTGTCCATCTCCTGGAGCCTGGTTAACCTGTCTAGTATCACTCCCTTAAAGAAAACCAGCTCTCCCTTTCCCAGAAGTTACTGGTTGCCAAGCTTTCGAGCCCTTCAGCATTTACTCAAGAGGTGAACATTGCTCATGATGTACAAGGGAAGACTACCTTAGTCTTAATGATTTCCATATCTTTTCCCAGTAAGCACTCTGTCCTAGATAGAATGTTAAAGTCATGTATATTCTAACTTGAAGGTGCTAATAAACAGGGAAAATAAGATGAGGTAGATTCTCTCCCAAACACTTCTAAATACAGAATCTTGGAACATTGTAAACAGGGACCCAAGTATGTAAGGCAAATCATTGGGACAGGCCAGGAGTTACTCTGTACTAAGATAAATGATTTGGGAGCACATTTTGTCTGTATATTAAACACAGCAATATTTTGATTCATTTACTTTATCAATTTATCTTTTTTTTTACTTTGATGGTTTTCCTCAACGTCTAAGAAAAGCAGAGCTGCACACAGTGCCTTAAGTACTGGTGAGCCTTCTCATGTAGAAGGAGGGCTGAAAACCGCTCATGATTGGCTCAGGTACATGACACTTGTCACTAGCTAATTGTCACACAAAAAGAGGAAGGTAAGGCTGGTGAGAAATCTCCCTAAGTTTTAGATTACACTTTCTTTCCATGAACTAAATTTTCCTTAATTTGCTTAGAGGAGTACTCTATGCATATTTAAAATTCTGGCTTCTTAGTATCATGTGACCAAATCTACTCAAGAGGTAAAGGTTCCTTGGAAGACGTTCCTGCTTACTGTGGAATGAACACACCAGTTAGACTGAAGCTATGGGCTATTAAGTTCCCTGCCATAATGTGATATGACTGAAAACCACTCATCTCTCATGGGAGAGTGCAGGGGTGTAGGCCTGCTGTTGCCATAAAACATGCCTCTAGAGAATCCTGTACATGAGCAAATAATTTATAGTTAATAGCATAAAAGAATGACCACATTATTATTTTACATGGTTACTTTCTGAAAGCAGAGGACAAAGAATCAAAAAAATTTAAATATATATATGTAGTTGCTTATACTGGGTAAGTGGTAATTGCTTAAATATCTTGGGAAATTGATGCATTTTATAAGTGTGCATTTCAGGATGGTTTCTGGGTTGTCTCTAATTTAGTCAAAAGGCTAGGGGCATAGCTCAGTGGTAGAGCGCTTGTCTAGCATGCAGTGTCTTACATAGAAAAGCTGTAAGACTAGGTTTGAGCCTCAGTACTATAAGTATATTCATAAATCCAAAGAAAATTTAGAAAATGTCAACAGTGATGTAGGTTTGTCAGCTAGCTTACTAACCCTGAATCATCAGCACTCAGCATGTCTGAGGCTGTTCCCAGCTCCAGCTGCCGCATTCAGCTCTACTCAGAACAAGTGTGCTGTCATCTGAGTCCCACCTTGTCTGCTCTTGAGCTGCTTATCCAAATGTCTGAGCCCTTACAGTGAGTCTTGGCCATTTACTTTATGAAGGCAATGGTATGCTTTCTCAGCTTTGAATGCATGTCACATAGTAAGTGCTCAACAAATAGTCCCTCACCCCTTTTTATTTATTGGAAATTAGTCTCAGAATATTGTAATGACCTCTTTTCTGTCTTGAGAGAGCATTATCTCTTGAGGATGAAGGAACAAAGTAGTTTTCACTGAATTACCATTTATCAGGGGTCTTGAATAGACCCACCATCCTTTGCTCTTACTTTATTTAAATAAACCTGACTCTGTCCTTGGAATGTAGATTTTTATTATCTGCCAAACACAGTCTGTTTAAGAACAGTGGTTTAAGCCAGGTGTGGTGGCACACCCCTTTAATCCCAGGATTTAGGTCTACATAGTGAGTTTCAGGCAAGCCAGTGCTACATAGTGAGACCCTGTCTCAAAAACAACAGTAAAACCAATCAAAGAATAATAATTTGGCCATATCTGTCTCCTTGTTTAATAATAGTCTAAATGAAAAAGTAGACTGCATTGTGAATCATTGGGATTGCATATTGCTTGAGAGTGAGGGCAGAGGATGATGGAGGAAGGCACCAAGGGGTCCTGGGAAACTGCAGCTCATTGGTAGCAATGCCCCAAGGACAGGTGACCTAACTGCAGTTGCTGAGTTGTGTGACTGGGAAGCATTGGTCCCCAGGCTGTCCATTTCCCCAAGCATGGTATGGGAGCAGAGAGCTGTGGACTCCTGGAGGCCACATGGATCAGTGTGGACCAAAGATTAATAAAGCTTCCCTCCCTGCCTTGTGGGATATAAGTATAGATTTAGTCAAGGTGATTATAACAACATGGCTATTTTTTGCACATGAGTTTATGAGTATACTTCATATGCTGCTTAAATCTTGAATTCAAAAAAATAACCCATTTGCTACATGGGCACATTCGATTTCTGAAACATTGATTAGGCAATCTAAATATACCGTGTGGGGAGATGGGGCTGTAGCTTAGTAGTGGAGTGTCCCAAGTCCCAGCAATGCAAAACAACAGGGGCCCTATGAGGTATCCTGGAATTCTGCTCTGCAAAACATTGATAATAGAAAGTTTTTCATGGACCTAAGGAATACTTCAGTTTGAAAAAGAATTTAAAAGCTAGACTTATTCTATATAAAGGCCTTTGAATTACAAATTATCACTGCAGATTTTTTTTGTTATAACTAGTAGAATTTTTAAAGAATTGTTGCATAGCTCATATATTTTGAAACTTCATCTGCTGTCACTAGCAGTTTCCTTAATCAGATAATATAATTTTGTCTCTCTAAATTGACTTTGTTCTTTATGGAATTAAACAGGATTTTTCTGTATTGAGTTGCGGTGACTTTGGAAATTTTGGTTATGGGGCTGCTTTGGGGGGAGCCCGGATATAGCTCATCATGAATGAGCCATGATGGAAATGGAAAAAGTAACTTTTTTTTTGGTCTTTTTGAGACAGCTGTAGCCCCAGCTGTCCTGGAACTCAGTAAGTACACCAGGCTGGCCTTGAACTCACAGAGATCCACCTGCCTCTGCCTCCTGAGTGCTGGGATTAAAGGCATGTGCCACCACGCCCAGCGTAAGTAACCTTTTAACTCCCTGAAAATGGCTGTCAAATGCAGGAATTCTTCTGGACCCCACAGAAAGAACACACCTAAAGAATTTTCAGGGAAACAGCCTGTTATCTTTCTACTGTTGGGGAAGCAGAGGCCAGGGGACACCCATTAGAGATGAAGACGAAGGGATTGCTGTGCCTTTCCCAAGCGTTGTTTGTCTTTTTATCCAGAGTAGTCAGTATTATGTCTTCTATCTTCAGCAACTAAGATTTGGATAGTCAAATCCAACCCAAAGAATTGTTTTGTCTTTCTCTATAAGAACAGTGACGTACCTTTTTGTCGGGGATCCTGCCCGGAGCCAGGGAAAGGGAAGTGCGCTGTCCGCCCTGTACTCGCAGCCTCCCTGGGAGACAGACACGACAGGGAGCCAGTCAAGCAGGAACTCGTTTATTGCAGGTGTTTACAGAGCTTATAAAGGCAAAAACCACAAAGGAAAATCCCCTCCCCAACCAAGTGTCCAATCATATCAAAGGTGAACTTGAGCATGCAGTCTCCTCTCCATGGGGTGATCACGTGCTGCCAGGATGCACGTCCGATCGACCTGGCCATTTCCTCTAGGCACCATCCTGCCTCACCCCTGGCCTCAGGCCCCCACACCTTTTTGGAAGGGTTAGACAGGTTAGTGTATAAGGCATCTTGGGAAGTGAAGTCTAATTTCAGATAACCTTCCATGTTCAAAAAAAATCTAAATTTAGATCTTTGTTTTTCATGTCTCTATAAAAAGTATTTCCATCTGATTTAACAAGATAGAATACTGGTAATTAAGAATTCTCAACAGAGCATTCTTAATTTTTCTCAGAATCCTCTCATTAAATTAAACTTTTGAAACTGAATGGTCATTTAGCAAACTAAAAAATGTACCTTTTTGAATGAGTTGAACTCATCAAAGTATCTATGGTTTATATGTTACTGAGAGCCTAAGTTTTTAACACTAAAAGCATCTTAGGCTACTGATTTCTCATATTGGTGAGTTTCCCTTAATCTCCGAAATTATCTGTTCATTAGGCATTTCTATAGCATTTAAAGGGAGACGTTTGATCTTGGCATAGCAGCAGATAACAATGAGTCAGGCTAATTCTAGTTTTTATAACCTTAAGAAAATTTTGTAAAAACCTATGAAAATAATGATAGTGTCTTAGTTACTTTTCTCATTGCTGTGACAAAATACCTGACAGAAAGCAACTTAAGGAAAGAAGGGATGATTTTGGCTCAGTTTGAGGGTACAGTCCATCATAGCAGGGAAGGCATGGCCAGTGTAATTTGGCTGGTCACATTGTATCCACAATCAGAAAGCAGAGAGGTGAATGCTCGTACTCAGTGTGCTTTCTCCTTTTAATTCAGCCCAGGACCTCAGCCCACGGGATGATACCACCCACCTTCCCGATAGGGCTTCTGTCTTCTCTAGGAGCGCCCTCACAGACACACCTGTGGGTATGTCCAAATCAAATCAGATTGACAGCAAACCACCACAGATAGCAACAGCCACTTAAATATATTTGCTGTGTGCCAGGCATTAACTCTAAGCATTTTCTATTAATGCTTGAAACAACAGTGTAGGAAACCAGGCTATAGAGTTTCTGAGTTGTCTGGATGTCACAGCTAGTGGTAGAAGCTATCTAGAAAGCCGGTCAGCTCCAAGTCCTGTGCTCTTGTCACCCTGCAGTGTTGCAGGATGGTCCCTTGGGACTCACCACAGACTTTCCATTATGTATTGGGTTTCTCCTGCCATGAAATAAAGTAACTTGAGATCACATCTGCTTTCATCCCACTTCTCATAATGACAGACTCCTTTAAGGTTGGTTTTTTAACCTGCTTTCCAGAAACATCTCCATCATTCATTCTCATACCCCCTTGCCCCCCCAACACACAAGTATAGTGACTTCAGCTCTTAAATTCATCCAAGTCAATGTGAACATGCTAGCTGGCTGGCATGGGGATGATTTAGTAGGTCAGTGTACTGCAACCCTACTCACCTTTGTGGCACCTACCAACTTACTAGCCATGTGCTCATAAAGTACTTTTGTGAGGCTGTGTCTTCCCATGTAAGTGATGCTAATAAGATTTAGATTTGCTGCATAGAATAAATGTAGAAATGTTTCTAAAACAGTGTAGTTCTTGGGAAGTAGTAAATTACACCACAGCAATTACTGTGTATCATACCTTCGATAAAGTTAAGTAGGGCCCACATAGGACAGGTGCCAGTCAAAGTCAGTCTCCTAAGTTTACATATTCATTAATATCGGTTTCATGTTTCTACCTATTTTCCTTAAAGGGCATATTGGAGAACGTTTAAATGCCTTCTTTAAGTCCACTGCTTCTGATCGCTCCTCTTTACTACTAATACTACTGGACCCTAAAGAAAGAGGAATTTCTTGTCTAGGTTTGTTCTCGGTGATCCATCCAGTTTTGGTGGGGTTTTTGTTGTTTTGCAAGGTACTTTTAATGCTATCCTTATTTCTTCCTTAAATTTCAAAAGACATGAAAATGAACAATAGTACAGACTGAGCCAGAAACATGAAGTAATTTATTTTGATACTGGTTAAGATCCATTATATACAGGTAGAAACCATAAAAATTGTACAAAGAACCATTAAGAATGTTGATAGTTTTATAGACAAAACAACTGAAAAATACTTCTAACATAGACAATATATAATTATGAGAAAAGTAGAACACACATTGCTCTACCAGAGAGATTCCAAAGGGGTTAAAAGTCTGCTGTGCAAACTGAAGTTGAAGAAATCTGTTCAATGGAGTTACATGGTTCAAAAAAATTAGTAATAATGTAAAAATTAACTTTCTTCCTCTCACTGCAAATGGAAGAGTAATCAAGGTTTCATGCCAAATCTATACTGTTTGAAAAATAATTTATATGTCTAGCATGATGAAAGAAAATTAACAATGTGTGTGGATCTGTAAACTATGCTATTTATGAAATGCAAACTGCATCAGTTTTGAAAATTATAAGTTGTACAGTCAGAAATAGACTGTTCCTTTCACGGTACCACTGCACCTCCATCGACTTTATACTTGAGCACCAGAACTGAAGGTCTAAATGCTGTCTTGGAAAACTATTCTGAAAATGATCAAGAAATCAAAACTACCCTACTGTCATCTAGAAAATTAGGCACCAAGCAGGAGATGGTCTCCTCGGAAATGCATATCAGTGGGAAATAAGGACTTATCAGTTAAGCAGCTGACAGATCTCCTTGTGAACACAGCAGAGGAAATCCACATATGATGATCCTCCATAAAGTCCTTTATCTTCCACCAGGAACTGTCGGAAGGTCATTTCCCGCTGCTCTCGCTGCTTCACTATTACAAGCTAGGAAGAAGTAACAGCAGGCAGTCAGAAGCATTTTCTGAATGTGGCCTAGCAATTCTGTTTGCCTCAGTTCTGCCAAATGTGCACGGTATGTGAGGCCTTGGATGTGAATATGCTTGGGGTTTTTTTGGGTTTTTTTTTTTTTTTTTGGCTTATATTTTTACTTTGTGTGTGTGTGTGTGGGGGGGGGTGTCTGTGCACATGATTGCAGGTGTCCACACAGGCCAGAAGAGGGCATCAGATCCCTGGGAGTTACAGGTGGTTGTGAGCTGCTTGACTACTGCTGGGAACCAAACTCAGGTCCTCTGGAAAAGCAGCAAGCACTCTGGACCCTTCAGCCATCCCTCCAGCCCCCATGCCTGTTAACTGCAAGACTGTTTTAAGTGGCAAAAATAAAAGTACAGTTTCCCATGAGCAGAATGCAATGGGAAAAACTCACAGCAGCAGTGTGGTCCCTGAGTGTGCATCAGAACGACACTGGGGAGGGAAGGAGTTGCAGTTCCAACTTATGTGGAATTTACTTTCTCAATGGAAACTTATAATGCACATCTTGTGGGCTATCTTTTTGCTGTCTTTCACGTTTTTTGTTTTGTTTTTTGCTTTTTATGTGATGTTCACGGTATAACCTCGTCAAAGTGAGTCTGGCCAGAGAACAGAGAATAAATTTTAGCCTTGGGAAAAACTTAGCTTTCAGATAGAGTAGTTCATATCCTGCTCACGACTTGAGTCTCACACAGTTGAACTGCCTACTGCCTCTGTGGAGGAATACAGAGAGCATAGTGCAAGGACTCTGGAGAGTGGGTCAGGGGAAGTGGTGGGGGCTAGCTCAGCACACTGTGCTCTCCTCACCAGTAAGGGCATACCCATCCTGGTAAGAGGAAACAGCAATACCAGGATTGCCTGGAGAGACACACTATTATGTACTGTACAGGGGGACATGGTCTCATATGGTGGGGCAGAATATTAATATGATCACTGCTGGTCTTTCATGTGCTGTGTGTCCGCTTCATGGAGGGTCTGGATAACTCAAATGACCCAAATGTAATATTCTCCAGGTTATGTTATCACAGGCCTCAAAAGAATGTGTTTCAAAAGCCAATCCCACCTGATTCATATACTAGCTTAATGACTGTAAGGATGGCCCAGGAAGAACATAGTCAGTGATTGCAGAGAGCCACAGATACAACCTTAGGGGATACCAGCTCTGACAGGACAGATGAAGAGAAGCCAAACACGGTCAGAGAAGAACCAGGAGCACATGTTTTGAAAGCTGACAGAAGAGACTGAGAAATGGAGCAGTACTCAATCTTGTAATGCTGCTGAGAGATTTGGAAATCCATTGTCTTAGCAATTTGGCAGTTTCTAAGGAAGCAGAAAGAGGGAAGGGAGATAGTCAACACAGATGATTTTCCTAGCAGCCTGGTGAGGAGTTAACATTTGGTGTGATGCAGGTGTTCAGTAAGTATCTGCAGAGTGAATGAAAGGACGGGAAGAAGATCCCAGGGAAGCAGTAGCTTCACAGAAAAAAGATTTAAGCAACTATGGAAAACTAAAGACGACCAGAAAAGAGCAAGTGCGGAGATACAGAAACGATAAGAAGGGCTATAACTAAAACTTTGGACAACAGCAGGGAGAGTAGGAACCAAACGGAGCACTGGCTTCCATCCTCTGGGCATGGACTGTGACTGAAACTGTGTGCACCAGGATCCAGATGTGGCTCTGGACCTGGATCTGCTGTGATCTTGCTGTGGCATAGCCTTATATCCATCATGATATGGCTGTGAGATGCTGGTCAAGTTAGTGGGCTCCTTTGAGTCTCACTTTCTCTGATTCACTAAATGGAAGTGTGGGGCTGAAAGGGAAGAGGAGGAGCAGGTGCTTATGAATTCCTTTCAGCTGTAACAGATTTAATATATTTCTTTCAAATTGTTTACAGAGAGCATCCTAGGGAGGTCAAAGAAATCTAAACATAACAGTAAACACCTCTCCAGGTGGCACATAAGGAAGTCTGTTAGCTGTTCCAGCTACTCCTGTCTTATTTACATGTCAGATTGAATGTTTACCCCTATGTTTTTTTTCCTCTTTTATAATCAATCTTGAAATGACCTTAAGGAGTGTTAGAGTAAGTGATAGAAAAGAGGAAAGAAATGTCTGGTTTTCCTCAGAAGGAAGGGTAACAAAGCATGGGATGATCCATGGCCTGACCCACTGCTTCTCTGCCAGTGGGCAGGTGTAGGGGTGCAGCCACGGCAGCTGCAACGAAGGGGACCATCACTGAGCATTATTAATACCAAGGGCTTTCAACTTGGTTCATGAGACTTTAAAGCTCCGTTACACATCTGTGTGCCCAATGCTCAGGGAGTGTCGTGTGGAGAACCTGTGTAGCTGAGCCTTCTCCAGCCACCTCTAAGTTATCCCTTCAAACATGCCCACGTGGTATAAAAACAGTTCTGGAAATGCCCAGTGTTAACCCAGACTCATGTGAGCAACTGTGAAACTAGTTACTACTTCTACTTAAAGCTGTATCTAAAGTTGTGTCTGCATGCATGAGTTACTTTTATGGTGAAGGCTGTTAAGTTGACATCAAATATGCATCTCAGGAGAAAATCGGCCTCACAGCCGCCTGGTCCTACAGAGGCCTGCATCCAAAGTGTCTTACACTGTACAGTAAGGAGCACTCACTATACAGAGCATCACCATCAGGAAGTTCCAGATCCAGGAGACTGTAGTGCATAGCTTATGGAAGAAGCTAGCTGTAAGTAGCTGGAACTTGGCAGCTAAATATAACGTGCTTGGATTCAAGACATTTTAAATGCTTTTATTCAAACAGAAGATGCTAAAATGACTATAATCAATGACTATATTATAATAACTATAATCACAAAGCACTTCAGATAGAGGACAAAAATTGTAAAAATCAAAATTTTTAAGTGCTCTGAATGATATTTCTATGATTAAATATGTTGGGCACCAAAGGAAAAGTTATTTCAAAGATTGTTGGGAGACATCAGTTACTTTTACACCCTATGAGGAGGGTCATCATGATTACCAAGTTGGTATTTAGAGGAAGATGGCTTTGGATGATAACTTTTTATTTGTGTGTTTGTGTCTAATAGTAGATAAACATATTCAGAGCTGTGAGTTTTCTATCAAAGAATTTTCAAGATCAAAGAAATGGGGGAAAAAATCTCATTTTACCTTCATTGTGTATGGCTTCTTTTCCTGGATAATAGACATTATCATTCTGAGCTGTTCAGAGTGTGGACTTCCCACCTCAGGCAGCAGGGTCTGAATTGAAGAACATCACAGCTTTAGTGAAACTTGTGACATTTAGAATTGAAGCAGCAATATGAGATTATCAGAACATTAAAACCATCCTTCTGATACCATAGAGACTATGTACAGGTTCAGTTCACTTATCTGAAAACTGAAAATGTGGAAATGTGAAGTATAAATTACCCATTTTTATTAGTATACATTTCCATCAGTGAACTACTTATCTCTCTTGGAAATGCAAATCCTCTGGAATCTGACACAGGTCCATCACTAAGATGGAACAAGTGTACGTTTCATACGGAGGATGTCTTTGGGTCATTTCTCATGAAGGTGATGAATCCTCAAGGGCATGTAATGAGAGAAGGATGTGCCTAACGCTTTAGTGGACCTCTCACAAGATCCTAGGATATTACTTGTTTAGAAGATGGTATCCTGTTCCAACATTAAAACCAACTACGAAATGCTTATTTCTCAAGGTAATGTTGCCCCTTACATTCCCTGAAATCTGTTCAGTAGTTTACAAAATGGCCCAGCAGCAAGTGGCCCCCAGGACGCGTGAACACCCAAGAAGGATCCTGAATTCTCTTGAACAGGCAGTTTGGCAGCAAGGATGAGGCCCAAGCTGAAAAACTAAATCCAAGCCCACCTCGGTCCTTTCTACCTTCAAGAGACGGCCTGTCTCTGGCCTTCACTGCTTCATCTGGAAGACCTGGCTCCAACATCCGTCTTGCTGGTGTGCCATAAGAATGAAATGAAGTGGTGTAAAGTGCATCTAGAGAACAGCAGCAGGCACAGACCAGACAGTCTAAAGTGCTATCAGTTTCTTGTTACAAATTTAAACATGTACGTGTGAATGCATGCCGCATGAGTGCAGATGTCCACAAAGGCCAGAAGGTGCCAGAGCCCCCGAACCTGAAGTTACAAGTGGTTGTGAGCCACCCAATGTGGGTGCTAGGAACCAAACTGAGGTCTTTTGGAAGCTCGGGATGTGCTCTTCACTGCTGGGCCATCTCCCTAATGCTATCAATTTCTATTAGTCATGTTTTGGTTTTCAGGAAATTATTTTTATATTAGCAAACTTTTATTCAACAAAACACGATTTCTCTCATACAGAACTATACACACATAATTGTTTTTCTTCCTTTTTTTTTTTTTTGGTCTTATTGAGACAGGGTCTCTCCTGTACCTCTAGCTGGCTGTCCTGGAACTCAATATGTAGACCAGGCTGGCCTCGATCTCACAGAGCTCCGCCTGCCCTGTACCCTGAGTGCTGAGATTAAAAGTGTGCACCGCCACACCTGGGTTCGTTTTTCTTCTTTGTAACATAAGATTGCACATAAATTTTAAGAATTTAGATCTTGTACTTTACCACAAAAAAGAAAAAATAACTTACCATATCTGTGTTGATATGTGCAAAAGATGGCACATTAAATATTCCTTGAATCAGTTCTGGTGGGCTACTCACTCCCAGCCACAAGAATATGTTTAGACCATTAGCCAGCAGGAAGATTCCTTCTTCTGAAAGGCGGGACTCGGAGCAGCGGACAGCGGGGGGCAGCACTGTGCTCTTTACATCCAATGTGTGCTGCAGAAGCAGAGTTGAGACACTCAGGAACTCCTCCTCCCTCTTCCTTTCCTTTTCTTGCTCCTCCCCGTCCCCCTCCCTGTCAGTGCAGAGTTATTGAAAACCTAGCTCTAGACAAGAATCTCTAGCTTGTGCAGCTAATGGTGTTTTGGCTAAAGACACAGGATGTAAAATAAAAAACATCATTGTAGATGGTGTTAAGAGCTGTGTAGAAGGGAAATGGTACAGTGGGAGATGTATCAATGGTGGGGGAAGGGTCGTTAGGACAGCTTATGGCAAAAGTAACTTAGAAGTAAAGTTACCTGAGGAAGTGAGAAAATGAGCCTTGGAGGAATCTAGGAAAGAACATTCCAGGCACAGACAAAAGCTTATAGAAAGGTCCTGAGGCAAAAGCCTGGCTAGGGTGTTTGAGGGTCAGCAAAGAGGCCTATGTGGCTGGCATGAAATCAGGATCAGAAGATGAAGGTCAGACAGAAACGGGCAGGGAGTCATTACCACTGAGCCACAGTGGTTGGAACTGTGACTTTAATGGAGATAGGGACATCCTGGACTGGTCTGAGGAGGACAGAGACAAGCTGTTACTGAATGGGATCCCTGTGCTCTGACTTCTGAGCTGCAGGCAGACCGAGGAGGCAATGGTGAGAATGAGCAGCCTTCCTAGGCGGCTGCTATGGTGGTACAGAAGGGTGATGACTGCGCTCGAGTCTGTGGTAACAGATGTAGGACGATCTGTTATCTGTCTGGATACCCTAGGACAGCTGGCCTGTGTGCTGACATGCCAGGTATGGAGGAGAGGGTGACAGACAGCACCTGAAGAGCAGAAGTAAGGAGAGACACACCGAGATGGGAAGGCTGAGGGAAGACTGTCAGAGTCAGATCAGCAGCTCTACACTGCCCCTTACACAGCCAAGGAGAGCCACACATCTGGATACAGGGACAAACACATCTGGCGGCCAGGGCAGAGGTACAGCTAGAGACAGGAATACGAGGACATTAGTGTACATGTGACATCTAAGTTACAGAACAGAAGGACCACCAAGGAACAGAATGAAGGTAAAAAGAGGTCTCCCAGAAGCTGGACTCCAGACTATCACCGCAGTGTTGGTTCAGCTCCTAACATGGCAGAGTGGTGGGCAGGAAAACAGCTGAGTAGCGAGAAGCAAAGCAAAGCGGCTGTTCAAGGGAGAAATAAAGTGGGCTGGATGCTGTTGGCATGTCAGAGGAAGGCACCAATCCCCCGGACCCACCAATACATAAAGGGATGGAGAAGGGAAACTAGGGAAAAGAGGACTGAGTCGTGTGCGCTGGTTTAGTGAGAGGAGAGGGCTTTGCCAAAAGAATTTCAGTGGAGTGCGGGGGCTCTCATCCTTTAGGGTTCTAGCCTCTCTGGCCTACAGATTGTTGCAATCCAAGCTTATCTGAAAATAATTCCAAATCATTTCTTCCCCTTATATCCATTGAAGTAGTGTCTTTATTTCCAGCATGATTTGTCACTGGTTGCTTTATCACTATGCCTGTAATGACCCCTAAGAGCCCAAGGAGGAGCTGCATACAACCTAACAGCTTCCCGCACTTCTTTCCCTCAAGTAGGACCCAGCTAGATCGCAAGAAAGAATCCAGGCAGAGTGCAGGGCACTCAAGGCTTTAGAGACACTTCAACACAGCAGAATATATTACCATGTAAATTCTCTTTCTCTGAGGGCAAGAGTGGCTGGGCTCTTGTATGGTGTAGGTATCCTCAAATATATGCTCCTTTGTAAGTCCCTGATTGCATGTGTGCAAGGCCAGTTTGATTGAATGTGATGACTCTTACACACTTATACATTATATAAAACAGGTAATTCATGCGTGTACAAGAGTCCATCCACACATATGTGAGTTATCTTTCAGGCTGTAGAGTTTGGTTGAAGCTTCGCTTGCTCCTGCTTGTTTACAGACATCTCAGTGTGCCTACTAACTGAAGTTTACCAAGGTGAGAACTCAGGAAGAAAAGCTATCTAAAAAGTTTTATGAAGTAGGACTCATCACATCCTTCACTAACCGTGCTAAGCACATATTAATGCACATGTGCAACATGCTCAAAGAGCCTCTGTTACATGCCCCACACTGCACATTTTAAAGGCATCTCTGAGTTTGAATTTCTTGTTAGGAACCAGAGGTTTTAGAAAACATGGAAAAGCCCCAAATACAAGTCCCTCCTAAACTGCTCTAGGAAATGCGTGGTTGCAGCATGCTTACTATTGGCAGAAGTTGTGGATAGAAGAAGAGCTGGGAGTCAGCCACACCCATGGTCATGACCAGCTGTCTCTGGTATGTCCGTTCATCTGTGGAGATCTCCGGTCTACTAAGCAGCACACAGTTTTTTAACAAACAATTCATGTACACGGGCAATACTTTCATGGAGTCTGGTAGAATCAGCTGAAAAGGAAGGCATTTGTTTCACAGGGTGACTTTTTACTGAGAAAGGCCTTGGGTTTTATCTATGAGATAGAAATACTTCCTTTTGAAGCTGTAAAAGCTAATAGGCTTCTCTCCTACCGTAGCTCACAAAACCTCAAAGCACAGACTACACATTATTATGATACAATGTAGCAACCACACTGTAGAATTACAACTTGACAGTTAAAAAAAATACATGTTGTTTAATCTTACAAATAAGTTTCGTAAGAATAGCTAAGAATCAAGTTTGACTCATGGGTGTTCCTTTTGTCAGCACAAAGAAATTAAAAACCATACAGAAGAGATGGTGATAATTAGCAAACTGATCTCTGAGACATCTGCCCTACGAGTTAATTTTTGTTGTTAGCTACCCTTTGTATGCTTGTATATGTGCATGCATGTTTGCAGGTGTGCATGACTATACCACACTCATGTGTGTGGAAGGCAGATGACAATCTTAGATGTTATCTCAGGAATGCCTTCTCCCTGCTTTGAGACAAAGTCTCTCATTGACCTGGAGCTCACCAGTTAGGCTAGACGGGCTCTGAGCCCCGGGGCTCCTCCCAGCTCCCTGGCACTGGGATAACAAGCACAATCCTCCATGCCCAGCTCTGCATGGAGTTCTGGAGAGCCAACTCATGCTTGGGAGGCAAGCACTTTCCCAGCTGAGCTATCTTCTCAGCCCTTATCTCTCTATCTTAATCTTGAAAAAGAACATATACTTGTCAGAATCTATAATGAAAATTACCCTCATTTTCCCCCTCATTCTCCATCTTATATCCCATCACTCTCTTCTTGTGATCTACGTAGTAAGGATGTAGACAGACTTAACTGATTCAGTTAAAGACATGATTAGACATTTCAGAATGTTCTACTGTACAGTTTATTTCTCCTCAACTTCTGATCTTTCAGAGAAGCCAAGTTAGTAAATGCATGCTTCCTCCTAGAACACTCTTCTTTTTGTAGCTTTTTCCTCTAGCAGGAAGCATTCCTAGTTGGCAACATTTGATACTGGAAAACTAAGATCAAAAGATGTAGAAATCAGATCATGGTCAAGTTCCAGAGCCAGTGGCCCCAGTGCTATTTCTGGACAATTTATAATGAATTATGAATTAAGAATTCTTATATTCACAAATAGAAGTGCATAAGAACAGTTTTTTACTATCTTGAAATTTCAATGGTTGCTTCTAATTAACCAGGTCATATTAAGGTCACTTAAATATCTGCCACTGTAGATGCCATGAAGGGGTGAGCGTGGCCTTGAGCTCAGTTAGGCCTAAGTCTGACTAGAGGAGGCTGGGTTCCACGAGACAGAGGGAAGGACACAGGAAGTAAATGAGCATGAGTGAAAGAACGTCAGTGTGGTGGCCCTTGCCTTTAATCCCAGCACTCGGGAGGCAGAGGCAGGTGGATCTCTGTAAGATGGAGGCCAACCTGGTCTGCATAGTGAGCTCCAGGCCAGCTGGGGCTACAGGAAGACCTCCCGCTCACAAAAGCAAAGAAAAATAACAACAATAAACAAAAAAGAGTGAATGAAAACAAGAAGACCGTTTCAGTCAAGATTTCTGAGTCAGAGAGAAAATGTGGCAATGCGTTATCACTGCAAAATCTGCCCTGCAGTTCTCCGGCTCCTCCATAATTAACTCATCTTGAGAGAAAAGCAGAGATTCATGTAAGGCTAGTCTGACTGAATTCGGAAAATTCTTTGCATTTTCAAATGACACAGCCGTAATGAACAACAACAACATCAGCGACAAAAAAGTCCCAACTGTTATTCTGTAGCTAAGCTCATTGGGCTGGCCTTTTGAGGAACATTCCATTCCCAGATAATGTAATAAAAGAACTATCAGATTCCATAAAGATAACTAGCGTTGCTTATATAAGCCTGACAATTTGTTCAGATATTCTGAGTCCTGTCTTGGCTGAGCATCTACCACCTGAACCTCAGAGTGGCGCCTCCTTAAGACGTGTACCCCTAAGTACCTTCTCTTGCCTCAACCTAGTCTCCACCTGATAATTCAGCAAAAGCGGTTCACTCAGGTCTGTTACCATACAATCAGAGTACGCATCTTCTTGAAGGTTCAGCTTGGTGTTGAGGTCTGGATAGAAAACGTTCCTTGAAGACTCTATTGAAGACTTGGTCCTCAATGCACCAGTATTCAGAGGTGGGGTCTTGGGAGGTGTATGGTTTGAGTGAGAATTGCCCCCCATAGGCTCCAAGCATTTGGACATTTTGTCCCCCGTAGGTGGCGCTGTTTTGGGAGGTCTTAGAAGGTGTGGCTCTGCTGGAGGAAGACGTCACTGGGGGTGGGGTTAGAGGGCTCTTAAACCTTGCTGGATCTCAGTTGCTCTCTTGTTCCCTCTGCCTGTTTGAAGACGTAGAGCTTAGCTCCAGCTCCTCCTCCAGCCACCTCTGCTGCCACGCCTCCCACCATGAGGGACTCTTGCCCCTTTGAAACTGTAAACTCAACACTAAGGTCCTAACTTCACGAGAGGTTAAAGGAGGGCACTTAAAAGGCATGACTGGAGGAGGAGGTCACTATAAGAACAAGAATAATCACTAGAGAGAAGCTGGCATCATAATGGTTTGCTCTGTAATAACTGAACCATAAAAACAGACAACTTTTTTAACTTTCAAATCAGAAGGAACAGATAAATTAACTTTTCCCTTAAATAGGCAATATTTGCTTTTCTTAAGGTTTTTGAAGACGCCATTTTACTTTTAGCAAATAAACTTCCAGAGAAGACACTAATCGTACCTGTTGTACTTCAACCAATCCCTTGGACGGGAGAGACTGCAGACGCAGAATCACGTCTTCTAAAGCTTCAGGACAATGAGCCAAGCTGGGGGGAAGTGCTCAGCACTGGACTACACACAAGCTGGCTTCCAGTGTTGCTGGCCTTCGTATAACTTAAGCAAGCACACCATGCAACTATGCAATTTCTCCTTCCCTTTCCTCCCTTTTTTTTCTTTTCTTTTTCTTTTTTTTTTTTTTAGAGGGAAGGATACCAGTCTCTAGTCTTATGATCATGAAGATAGAGTTAATAACAAACAGATCTGACTCACACTGGTTCTGCTGATAACTCTCCATGTGTAACTTTGGTTAAAGTCCCTTACAGCTTAGGTTGCCTTCATAACCTTAAATACCTGATCCTCTCTCCTCCACTTCCTGAGTGCTGGAATTACAGGTGTGTGCCACCATACCTGGCTTATTCACAATACTGGAACTTGAGTTTTCTAAAATTGAAAACTTTTTGAATAATAAAGCGAACTGAACAGTCATAGAGAGTCAGCAACCTGTTACACGACTGTCAACATGGGAGGTAAAAGACTGGGGACGACTAATCACTTTGAACGGCATAAAAAAGGAACTTCTCTGTCAAGTCCAATGTAAGAAATATGTTCGTTTTGTTTTCCTTCTTTACTCAATTGATTAATTTAGATCCAGAATTTATCTGTACTTTCTCCTGCTGACAGCTTCCTCCAATGTAGAGTAACTATTGCTAAGTTAATTAATTAGAAAATTTTCTACCAGCTGCTGTCTTTTTAAACCAAAATTCTGTAGCTACATATTCAATATACGTGGTTTTACTTTCTAAATTAGACTTATCTAAAAGATCTTCTAATTTCAATTACTTGGATGATGGCCAGAATCAACTGTTTCTAAGTTATTCTAGCCATTAATTACTTTAAGCTGAGGCAAGAGGATGACCATACGTTCAAGGAGAATCTGGTTTGTGTAGAGAGTTCCAGGTCAGCCAGGCTACTTAGTGAGACCATCTCTAAAAAAATGTAACTTTTAAATGTAAAGAATTCCAGTATTTATGTTATAAACTTTGTTGTAAGATACACTGTTATTACTGCCATCCATTCATAACAATACTATTAACATGCCTAAAGTGCATTCAAGCATACATATTTCACAAAATATCCACCTCTATATACAAAAGAGAGTCCTGTTATGACAGTCTTACTTAGAACATTCTGTTTATAAATAATGTAGTAGTGACTGTCACATTTTTGCTTCAGGCACTTTGTAAAGTCCAGTGGTTTTTCAAATTTTTTATTTATTTTTATTTTATGTGTGTCTTACTTGCATGTATGTCAGTGTAACCATGTGTGCAATGCCCACAGAAGCCAGAAGAGGGTGCTGGATTGGATCCCTTGGAACTGGAGTTACTGATGGTCCTTAGCTGCCATTTGGGTGCTGGGAGTCAAACCCAGGTCCTTTGCAAGAGCAGCCAATTCTCTTAACCCACTTTTTTTTTCAATGTTGGCTATAAAAACACAGAAGCCCCTCCCCACCAACTGTCTCCTCAGTCTCTCAGTTAGCTCTGAAAGAGTAAGTAGCTACTCTTAGCATGCTACCAGCTCAGCACAGCAGGGAGCTTACCTGGCTTGCTGCAGAAGGGCTTGCACAGTTCTTCCGGTAACATGCCAACATGTGGGCAGTCTGATTAACTAGAATTTCCCGGATGACCTTCAAAGGCTGGTTTAAAACTGCTTTAAAAGCTAGGTGCACAAAACCATAAATAAAAAGAACATCAAAGCTTTTGAAACTCTTTAGAAGTACCTTCCAAATAAAAACCACAATGCTATCTTCAGATCACTGAACAAGGATAACATTATTTTAAAATGTGAAAGTTTTTGCTACTGGCCTTTTCTTGACTAAATATGATGATCTAGGCAATGAAACACAGTGGTCTAACTACAGTAAAAAGTTATACTGGTCCTGGATCTTAGGAACAGAATTATATAACATAAAAGACAGGCTAGTTTGTTTTCTGAAGCCCTGAGCTTTATATACTGGAATGCTGCTGATTCCATACCTCAGTGTAGACTCCTGGAAAGAAAGTCAGAGAAAATCCCCCCATCTTGTGTCTTAGTTACCAGGGCATGGATAATCAATGGTCCAAATCTGGAGTACTCAATATTCAAGAGGTAGGGCACACTCACACAAGAGTTAAGCATCACTTTCCTAAATTTCAACTTGGACTCCTCACTAGTAAGAAAACTTTAAAGAAGTCTGTCTTGCCTGGCCCTGGGGCAGTGTCTACTGTTCCCAACCCTCTTGCCTGGCCCTGGGGCAGTGTCCAATCTTCCCAACCCTGGTTTGCACTCCTCTACCTTCCCCACTAAGCGCTTGCACTGACACAGTATTTCTCAGTTTCTGACTCAATTATCCAACAAGTCTTGACTGAATTACTGAACAACAGGTTTTGTAAAATGTTACCTGACTTTGCAAAGAAGTTAATAAGGGAATCTGTTTCACAGCTCTTGTAGAGATCTGTTAGCTGGGAGCTGCAGTTTAAGCCAAGATTGTGAATCCGAAGTCTTCTTTGACCACCGATGGTCGTGTAGAGCACAGCACACTGCAGAGCAACATTGAGGTATGTGTTACTGGTCACCCCTTGCAGCCATTTACAGAGCAGTGTATGCAGATAAAGAGCTCTGCAGCCTTCCATGGCTTTTCCTTTACAGTTAAAGATGGAGCAATAATGGGACAATGACCAACTCCTCCATTTTATTCAATTCATCTGTGTAAACTCTCAGTGGCTTCAACTATTGGGCTGTTCACACATAAGTATCCACTCACATTTCCACAACCGATTTGCATTTCACAGATGTAATGATCAAGGATCCAGGTCAAGAAACAAGTTCATAGCCCCACACAAGGCTCACTTCCCATTAAAGGATACAACTAGCTTGGTGTACTTAGGTCTTAATGCTGACGATATATTCAAAGACTGCTGAAGTACAGCCACTGGCCCAGATATTTGTGATTAAGTACTGAACATTCAGTTTTCTCAACTTAACGTCAGCCTCTCTCCACTCTGGGTATGATGCTGGTCTCTGACAGCTATGACCTTAGGTATTCTTGTCTTAAATGATAATTTATTACAAATCTAAATCCTGCTCCACTTGCTTATAATACGCATTCTTAGAGGCTAAATTGTGACCTCTTGTATTTTAAATTCTAACCTTTAGTACCTCTGAATGTTACTGCATTTGGGGGTGGCACCTTGAAAAAGGCAAATTAGTGAAAATGAGGTCATTGCAGTGGGTCCTCGGCCAGTGTGACTGGAGGAACCTTGGACACACACACTTCATGGAGGGAAGACCAGTGACGGCACAGGAAATGACCATCTACAAGCCCAGAGGAAAGGCCCAGCAGAGCCGCTTCCCTCAGAGCACTCAGAAGCCTCCAGAATGGTGGGAACTGAAGATCTGTTAAGATGTCCAGCCTGTGGTGGTTTGTCATGGAAGCCTCAGCACACCAGCATACGTATGGCAAGAGTGGCTGGGGTTGAAACAGGCGAATGGTGTTGAATACCCGCTTGCTGATGCCATGCTGCCTCACACCACTTGACTGGGCTCATGTGCGTGGACAGACGATTGCTGTGTCACATAGTAGCCTATGGGGAAACCACACAAGAGTGCTCTGGAGACTTCTGCCATCCGAGAAAGCTGAATGTGGTTCTGAAGAGACCTGCACGGCTGGCAGTTCTTTCCTGTTCTCCACACTGATTACTGTCAGTGTCAAATGGAAACCAAAAGGTCAGGGCAAATGTGAAATCACCTGGATCAAGGCTCCACTGTCCTCACTGAGCTTGTCGTCATGTTTGAACTCCACAGTTATGGCCTTATCACAATCAATGGCTGCCATTTCTACATCTGTGGTGTTGTTCATAAAAATCCCACCAAAGAAATCAGTGGCTCTGAAACCTAAAGTAAATGGAAAGGGAAAATTTGCTTCCTTTAATTTTACTGCTATAGCATTTGCTGCCCTGCTACTGGAAGAGAAAATAATTGTTCAAAAGAGACATAAAAATGATATAAAGTCACCTGTGCTGGTACGAACCCTCATAATAGCATCAAAGCCTATTTTCTTTTCAATATCATTTCTGAGGTCATTCAAAAATTGGTGGCTATCCAAATGCATCTAAAAAAAAAAAAAAGGTATGATCAGTGACCACCAGGCGGCAGTGAAGGACTTGAAATAACATTTACCACTCTTAAATTTTTAAAATTTTATTTATTTTTTAATTTTTATCTTTTTATATGGTTTTTATTTAATTTTTTGAACTTTTGTAATTTCATACAACAGTTCTTAATCAAATTTAGACCCCTTCCCCATCCATGCCTCCCCGATCCTTCCCACTGAACCCCATGTATTCCACCATACATGTTAAGTCCTATCCAATCAGGCATTTGTACCCAGATGTCCTTCAGTGTAAATTTGTCCACTGGACTCTAGTCGGCCCACCTAAAGATCGTATGTAAACCCTCCTCTCCCTCACCCAGGAGCAGTCCAATAGTGCGCAGTCCAGTGCTGCACACTACTCATCTCTCTCCTCCCTCTTTTGCCTGCATGTATGTTAAGTGTACTTGTGTCATGCACAACCCACAGAGGCCAGAAGAGGACGTTGGATCCCCTGGAGCTGGAGTTATGGATGGTTGTTAGCTGCCATGTGGGTGCTGGGAACCAAACCCAAGTCCTCTACAAGAGGAACACGTGCTCTTAGCTGCTGAATCATCACTCCAATTCCCACATTTACTACTCTCTAAATGTGATTTAAAACAATTTTGAAAATCTTGACTTTAAAATTAGATACAGCTTATATAGTAGTTTTGATAGTTTAAAATTATATGTATAGCTTATGTACACTTATACGTATAGCTTATGTTTCTTAGTTAAAGAAAATATAGACTATTTGGACAGTGATTCTTAAGTTTCCAAATAAAACCCCCACCTATTATTTTTCATTTTCATAACATTTGGTTGGAAAATCAATTCCTGATTTTATTTTGCAGATAGAAGAACATAAGTGGTCCACTCAGGGTTTTGTGTTATACACAGGAAATGATGCAATATGTAGCCTATCCAGATAGTCTGGCGACAGGCACTGAAACTGGAGGCTCTTTTATTTGACTACATTCAGAGCCTGAAGCTCAGACGGGGGGAAAGAAACATAAGCTCTCTCGGCACTCTTTTTTAAACAATATTTTCTTTATTCTTTTTATTTTATGTGTATGAGTGTACTGTGTGCATGTGTGTAAGTGCACCCGTGTCATGCAATGCCCGTGAAGATTAGAATCGGGCATAGGATCCCCTGGAACTGGACCTACAGATGGCTGTCAGCGACCATGTGGGTGCTGGTCCTCTGCAAGAGCGGCCAGTGCTCTCTCTTAACCGCTGAGCCATCTCTCCAACCCCTCTTGGCCTTCTTAACTACTCTGCTACAGCACGTCTGAAAACTGTTCACAGCCCACAGCTGAGCAGTATTAATGTTGTACACACCTGTGCAATACTGAGCTGACACTCAGAACAGTAAGTAGCTCAGAAGCAGTGTACACAGATGCATCTCTGACCTGGTCATGAAAGCTCTTTAAGAGATTCTCCCCACTGCTGAGAGGCAGGCGCACACACACACACACACACACACACACACACACACACACACACACACGGCTTCCCATTCTAAACCCCTACAACAAAGAGAAGGAAGGAGAAAAGGTAACAGAAACCACAGAAAGTGCTTGTAATAAATATTTCAGCTCTGCACACATAACCAGATTCCTGGGAAGTTCTTGACTATCCTTTTATCATTCTTTCATAATATTAAATGGAAGATACTATTAAAATTTTTACTGATAAAGCTGAGAACGAAATGCTAGGGTATGATTCACTCTAAAACAATGTGCAATAATTGCAGATTTAAAAAGCACAGCCAAACCAACCCTAGCACTGATTATAAAACACTTCACTCTTTGTTTACATGCCAGAGGGTTTTCCTCTCTTGGACTGAAACAGCACTTCCTTTTTAATAACATTGATGGAATCAATAACACATGTCGGTATGTTAACAAACAAGTAAATAGCCTTTATCAGAAATTACACAGGGCCAGCACGTGACTGAAAAACGGGGGAACAAAAGCAACCGTAGCAAGTCCGGTCCCTGATGGCCAACACAACACTTGGCCATGTGTTCTGTGTGGCTGTCACTTGAGTGCAGACATCAATGTGGGACCTGGGCACTATTCATCTATGCTAGGACCTTACTAAAAAGGAATGGAAGACGATAAAGTCTTTTGGAAAAGGGGAATAAAGTTTCTGATCAAATGTGTTTCCCTCACTGGAAGAAGCTGAAACAGGTCACACTGTGCCTCAGATACCCAGAATTCAGGCCTAAGAAGAAGCAATTTATGTGTGGGTATGGGTTAGCCTCTTTCAGGTCCATCTCGTGGGGTGACACTCATTCTCTGCCCCTTGATACAGAAAGTTGTCAGTGGCTCTGTCCACAGCAAGAGCTTGCAACTGTGCCTATCCTGAGCCTGAGTGTACACATTTGCCAAATTCAGGAGGGACACACTAGCCAAGTGTGGGAGAGGATGGTGAGAACTGAACTCATCTCAGAGTCCAACAACCTGACACAAATACACAGTTACTTTTTCAAAAATTGTCTTAGATATGTTTTATATAAAGTATATTTTCCCTCAATACTGACGCTTACATTAATACTTAACTCTGAGGTTTCCTGAGCTCAATGTATGGCTGAACACACAGTGTGAAGTTGCTTAATCAAATACACATGGCTTTACATCTCCTGAACTCACATTCGCTGGGAGCCCAAGAATGTAATTTTGTTTTAATTTTTTTATGTGTACGACTGTTTTGCCTACATATAAGTGCACCTATACATGCAATACCTGTAGAGACCAGAAGAGAGTTATGGGCAGTTATTAACTGCTCTGTGGGTGCTGGGAACTGTACCCAGGTCCTCTGCAAGAACAGCCAGTGCTCTTAATGACTGAGCCATCTCTCTGGCCCATGGGGTAGAACTTTCTGAACCCATGATTTAATCCCCAAACTTAAGCCTATCTGGTCTGGGAGATGGCGCAGCAGGGAAGAGTGCTTGCCAGGTTCCATCCTGGACCACATGGGGAAAAAAGAAAGTCAGATGTGGAGGATGTATCTGTGATTCCAGAACTACTACCGCAAGATAAGAGGCAGAGATAGGAGAATTCTCCAGAAGCTCTCTAGGCCAGCTAAGCCTGCAGTATAGTGCAGCCACATAAACAGGAGAGACTATCTCAACCAGGTGGAAGGAGAGAGCAGACTCCCAGAAGTCCCCTGACATGTGCTCTATGTTAGGTGCACACACACACTCCCTGAACCCCAAATACATTTTTAAAAAGATGTTCAAAATTTAAAACAGGAGGAAACTTAGAAGAACGAATGGCTGCCACTAACCTGGAAATTGTTGTATTTGTAAAGAGTTCCTCCAGTGAGCAGAGGGATGAGACCCAGAGAAGCCACGTCCACGTACTGACTGGGGAAGAGGAAGAGCGTCACCGAGCAGCTGTTAGCTACACAGTCCTTGGCCAGAGATTCATAGACATTTGTTTGAGGCTGGAAAAGTATCTGAAACAAAGGATGAAAAGAAAGTAAAGAAAAGCCACACAAAAGTGGGATTAAAGTTTAAGTTGCTACTTTTTAAACTGAAATTTTCAAGGGGGAAATGTGCTTTCCATTTTCCTTCTTCTAGTTAAGTGGACTGGGCTACAGAGTTGGGTGTCTTCAGTTATCTGATTCCCCACCACCCTAATGGAGCTACTGCTGCCCTAGCTCTGGGGGCGGCACTGTGAGGTGCCTGTGAATGCCTGCACACCTTCTGTCTCATCCAGCTTCCTCTCCTTTGACTCTTCCTCCACTGTCGCAGGTTTGAGCAGAGGCTGACTTCCAGTGAGTGGCGCCTCTACTCCATGACTCATGTCTCCCTAGGGGAGTGTTGTGATACTCGTCTGTGCTTTCCCTTTCCACATCATCCTCTTTCTGCACTTCCCCCTTTTCTTCCATTTCTCCAACAGTCTCATCACTCTGTCTCATGGAGATTGTAGTCGTGGCCATATCGTCCTGAATGTACCCGATTTTGTCTTATATAGATTATATACAGAAAATGTTTTTATTTAGATAATATATCAGTTTCTCTAGGAATATAAAATTCCTTAAATGTTTTTACAATTGAAAAATATTTGTGTAGTCTGGACACGCACATCGGATTTGGCTTCTCACCTTCTTTCTTAAACAAAGGCATCCTGACTCTTGACTCCTCCTAATAACTGATATATGGACATGTCACAGGGTAATCATTTGCAAGTACCTTCTCTTTGTCTGTGTTGATCAGTTTTTTGTCATCTCTGTTTTTGAGCTTCCCTGGTGCTTCAGCAGTAGGCAAGGAGGAGTGGAAGACGAACAGCTTCCCAGGACACTCTGCTGCCTTAAAAATCAAAGAAAAAGCTTCAGTGAAAAATCTTATTTTAAAATAATCAGAAATACATGAAACAAAAGTCCTATCTTATCCCAGTTGGAATGACATCACAAAGAAACAAATAACAAAATACTGTTGGGGATGTGGACAAAGAGGACCCTTGTACACTGTTGGCCCAGTCAGTATGGAAAACAGTACAGAGATTCCTCAAATAACTAAAGAAGAACTCCTGTATGACCCAGCTAGCCCACCTCTGGGGATATGCATGAAGGCCTCTAAGTCCACACACCACAGAGAGAGCTGCACATCTATGCTTATTACAGCACTATTCAAGTAATCATGTACTAAAATCAATCTAGTTGTCCATCGATAGGTGATGGATAAAGAAAATCTATATACACACTATGGGAACTCTATTTAGTTGTAAAGAAGAATGAAGTTATGTTATTTGCAAGAAAATGTATGCAACCGGAAATCATCCTATTAAGCGAAATAAGCCAGGCTCAGAAAGGCGACACATGCTTTCCCTCATTTTGGGATCCTGCATTTTATATACATCTATAAAACCATCTATACTAGCAGAATGGAAACTGGGGAGGAGAAGAGACTAACAAGAGAGCAGGAAAAGGGGAGAGTGTGCTGGAGTAAAAAGGACCAAAGTCCATCATCTACATCAAGGAAATTGTCTTTATGAAATCCGGTACTGTTACAGCCTGTACACCAATCAAACATTTCAGATATTTCTGCAGCCTCTTACCAGGCTTTTGAATGTGGCTTTCCCTGACATACTGCTTTTAAAACCACTGTCAGAGCAAACAGCTTGTGTCTGTGTTTGAACGGCTACCACCATATTTCCCTCAAATTTAAATGTCCTTCTCCATCTGTTTACTATTTTCAAGACTTATTCTTTTACTGTAAAAAGGAAAATGAAGAATTCATCATATTGAGATTTCCTGGGTTAATTGGATTAAAATTAAGGTAATAAGGTACAATAAAACATTCAGGTCTCAAAAAATAAATTAAAAATACACTTTTTCTTGTCTGAGCCATTCATTACAGTGAAGTCCCTTAAAGAACTCACTACAAAAGATCCCCATGTCCATCTAGACACCGGCTAATGGCAGAAGTATTTAAATTTATACTGTAGGTGTTCAGATCACACATCCTAGTCTCCACATGCCAGGGTTAGAAACCTGGGCTCGACAAAACTCAAAAATCTCAATAAAATTTTACTAGCTTAGTGACTTCAGGAAAATTATTTTTTCTAAGCTTCATTTATATAATACATGACATAGAAATAGTAACTACATAAAATAAATGTTGAAAGAATTTGACAAGTCAGCAAATGATGCTATTCATAATAAGCATACTTAATTGTCTTGTTAAATGAACTATAAGGTAATACTCTAAAGAACAAATGCACAGTCTATTAAAAAACTCAACATTGTGAAAATATAGAGTATCTGGGAGCTGGTGAGAGGGCTCAACAGATAAAGTGGTTGCCATGGGAGCATGAGGACTAGAGTTCAGATCCCCAAAACCCACATAAAAACCTTGTAGGAATGGAGGCTGCCTCTAATCCCAGCACTCAGGCAACAGAGGCAGGGAAGACTAGCCAGGATTAGCAAGCTCCAGGTTCAGGAGAGACCCTGCCTCAGTAAACAAAACGAAGAGGAATCCAGGAAGACAGTCAATGTCTACTTTGGGCGAGCACACACAGACATCGCGTGCGCGTGCACACGCGCGCGCGCACACACACACACACACACACACACACACACACACACGAAGTTACTAGGAAGTCAAAAGAATAAACTACACACAAACTCCAATAACAACACAGCAGTTTCTGCTCTTATGGAATGAATGATAATCACCCAGAATTTACCTGGTGAGTTGGAGGAGACACTTTCTCTATTATTCATATTAATAATCTCTTTACAGAGGTTTTGAGGAGATCTATGATTAAAGACACATAGACTAGCACTAAGGGAAGAGGGCTAGAAATACTAAGATGGTTAGGGAAAAGAACTATCTGCATTAGAAAATCTATCTTGTCTTATTATCTTTCTTGGTAATTAAGGCTGAAAGAAGAAGCATCATGACCTAGAATGCTTATCAGGACCGATCACAGGAAGCGAACCTCTCTCCCCATGAAGACACTGAACGACGCAGAGCACATTAACTAAACATTCATCAGAAGAAGCAAGCTTTCTTCAGAAATTTATTTCTTATTTCAATCATAATTATTATATAAGCTTAGGGCAAGAAAGCACATCATGGTGCAGTCACAATATTACTGGAACAAAAAACAGTCAATAAATGTACAGGTGAGGGATGCAATTGTCCTGGTGTAAGGATGTTCCTAGAGACCACAGGACAAATGATTCCATATGCTGGTAGTCCTCAAGTTATCTAAGAGGAGACCAGAAATCTGCACTTTTGAAAAGCACACCTTATTTCTGTGTGATTCCATGATTTTTCAACTGTGGATTAGTTGACTTTATGAATTCTGCAGCACAGCACCATCATCAGCCTCTGCATGAAATGGAAGAGGACATTGCTTTCCTCACTAGCAGACATGATGGTAGTGTCCACGGACATGTGTCCAACACTGACTGTGCAACGCCAGCTCATTCCGCTTTGTGAGCACAACTCACTGACCTTGTATTTACGAAGTTTTCTGAATTGCTGTTTAGACATTAGATTCTGCCTATTTAAAAAGTTCAAGGTTTTAATTAACTTCAAGGTAATATATACAGTAATATATAAGTAAACATGTAAATATAACAAAAATACAGTGCAAAAGATGCAAAGACATAGGCTACAGTGACTCAGACTCTCAAGAACTAATTGTAGAGAACACTTAGTGTTACAGTAACTGCTGTGCAAGCAGCTTTCGAGCATGTTAGGACTGTTAGGAACGGTGGCTTAGCAGAGTTCACACTAAACTTTAGTTAAAATGTGTATACACAGACTATATATAAATATTATTTTTTCAAATATGCCAATCAGTGTCTAGACCTCTTCTGATCTGCTAACGTACGAATCGGTCTTCTAAGAACTCAGGGCAGCAAGCCTGGCTCATGCCCTTCCTTCCACTTCAGTATCTTCAATACCCTCTTTTCTTCTCATATGCTCTCTTATTAAGCTTTTCAAATCCTTTGCCAAATCACGATTACTGTTAAACCTGTGGGTTACTTAGACGACTCACTCATCCACATAAACACAGTATCATTTCCAGTCCTAACTTAAAACGGAAAGATTTGTAGGGTCTTTATGACATTGTATGTGGGGTGATTTGTTTAACTTTTAGGAGCTTCATTGGAAGGGAGCACATCATTGACAACATATAACATTTTTCAAATCAAAAAAGAACAGACACTTTTATTTTTCGCAAAGAGGAATATAAGCATTGCCAAGGTTTTCTGGTGCCCATTGACGGCTTCCAGTGGGGTGGGTTCTATATCTCTAAGTCACTTCGTGTTCTGAAATGTTATGATCAATTTTACATTAAACTGCCATTTATTCTGACAGTGTCTGAAGGACATCCACAATACCATACATGAACAATCTGATACCATAACTGAATACCTGAAGACTGGAAAACCTAGTCAAGAATCAGTGCACTAGGCTCAAACTATAAAATTAGATACACAGTTTATGTGGGAGTGGTTTGTAACCTCAGTTCTGCACACTGTGGTCTGTTCTTTTTTACTGTTATTGTCATTATTCCTAGTCATTTTATTTTAAAAGTTGATGTGAATGTAATTTTAATAATAAGATTTAAAAACTGACTTTAGGAATGAGCTGTCAAGGTCAACGAGGTTTGACTATTATGCTAAAGAAATGGTTATTTATGGGTCTAGAGAGATGGCTCAGTGATTAAGGGCACTGGCTGCTCTTATGGAGGACTTGGGTTTGGTTCTCAGCACCCACATGATAGCTAACAACTGTGTGTAACTCCTGTTCCAGGGAATCTGACACCTTCTTCTGACCTCCACTGGCACTGTACAACATGGGTGCACCTACATACAAGCAGACAGTATACTCATACACATGAAAAATAAAAATAATAAATAAAATATTTTTTAAGGAGAAACAAAACAAATGGTGATTTAGATGAAGTACCTTTTTCACTTTTCTGTTGCTCTAAAAACAATCAGACATTTGGACTCAGCTTCCCCAGGGAACACAAGGCCAAGGCCTTCCCCCTTCTGGCAGTCAGCAAGGCCCTGAGCGGCAGTCACATCCCCAAGGAAGGAGAAGGCAACATGGGAATTTTTCTCCCCATATCTGATAGTTTCAATATTACTGAACTACTTTTAAAAATGGTTCGTATAAAGTTCATACAAAAGCCAAAGGGAGGAGCTAGGCTGAATCCTGACAGTCAGTTATTCTGATCTAACGGCGCTGGAATGTAAACCCTGGGGGACAGTGTGGCTTGGGCCATTTCCTCCTGAAAACTGTGAGGAAGTTTCGCCTAGGATTTTAAAGAAGACTGTATTTCTTTTCATAAGTAGAAGTCCTTTTTTATCTCTCTGTTACAAATGTTATTTACTAGCTGGTACAGGTGGTTTCTCTTTACCTTGAGAGCTTCCATGCCAGCCTGGATGACCGGAGCAAAGACTGTCTCGTTTTCGTTAGAGTCGGCAAACATCTCTGGAATCTGATCCAACAAACTGAGGAAACAAATGGACAAGAGGCTCTAAACGTGTGGCACGTCTGTCATAAGCTTCAGGAAATACATCGCTGACATTTCAAGCCTAAACACATATGGCATTTATTTTATGCACAGCATGTGTGGGTAATTGTTACTTACGGGGAACAGGTAACACGATAGGAGAAATTTCTCAAGGAACAATATTTTAGCAGTTTGACACCAAAATCTATTTTTTGGATGGAAAATTTATAAAATCACCCTCTTTTTAGATATTTTTCTATTCTCTATGAGATACCCTAAATTCTTGAAATAACAGTTATCAACAAGTATGCTTTTGCACATGCTGGAAATATATTCCTTTCATTACCTTTCTATCAAGGGAAAAAAAAGTTGAGAATGAATATAAAAAAAATTCTTACTTTTAGATAGACACTGGTCTACATTAAAAAGAGATAAACCTAACATAGTGACAAGTTTTGTAATTTATGCCCTAAACTGTTCCCCTCACTAATGACAGAACCAAACAGTATATGTAGTTGAATCAAAACACAATGTAACTTAAAACAGATACTTGATTTGTATTTAAACTATGAAACACTTAATATTTACTTGTGAATCACAGACTGGGATTCTTGGTAGTTGACAAGGAACCCGTCCAACAAAGGAACAAAGACCTCGCTGACATCTGTCACAACCATCATCTGAGCCTGGGCCAAATTACTCTTCACATTGAAGAAATGGAGAACTTTGTTATACGTGATAAAACCAACTCGAACTGCAGATGTCTCTTCTTGCTCTTCCCTGTGAGGAAACACAAAAACCTAACGTCAGGAATGTCCGACTACTGATGATGTTGCAGTCATGGCTTCCTACTTGTCCTTCTACAGTTTTCTCTGTGTTACTAAGAGAACAACCAACTATTCGGTATAAGTTTAGAATGAGACAGGTTTCTATGTGCAATTCAATAAATGTGTTTATTGAAAGTTTTGGTTTATTCTCTGTCGTCATTAGCGAGCAATGGCAGAAGGAGATACATGTTACTTCAAAAATAAGCAGGGTGATAAAGAAAAACATTCTCAAAATTCTAGGCCAATAATTAGATATTGTGGAAACATTTGCTCTAATCTGTTCATGCATTTATTTTCAATTCACAGAAAACTTAAACTTTTAAAATTTCCATGGACAAGCTGATTATAAACACTCATTATAAACAAAGTGGCCTCAGAAGTCACCAAAATGTCAGAACAAATGAAATATTCAGAGCTATGAAGGAAGGCGTTTTACAAAAAGGCTTGTTTACAATCATTCTGTCCCCTCGTCCAAGATAGTCCCTAAGCCGTGGGTGGATGAAGTTTAATAAAAGATTGCAAGAGCCAGGGAGGAGATGCATTACCACATGGAAACAGGTTTACAAACTCCTGGGAACCTGGTTATATGATTCTGTAGCAACGGTGCCAGTATACACAAGTCCCATGTAAATTCAGGTAGACAAAAACCCAGCATAGGACTGGGAAAATGAACAGCAGACCCCAATCTTATCTGAAGAAATATTGGCAACTGATTGCTGCTAGGTGAAGAAGAGCTGATCTTCTATAACAAGGGACTCTAGATAGGCTGACTAGACCTCAGTGGATGGACTTGCACTGCGGAATGGCTGGGGACACTGACGACACAGTAACCCTCAACAGGGATGACAGAGTATATGGGCTCCAGTGAGGGGGCTATGGGAAGGTGCCAGTGGGGATGAGGGGTATGGAGATGATTAAGATTGTTTGAGATGTTCTGTATGAAATACACAAAAATTCAATGAAAACAAATTTAAAAAAGAAAAAAAATAGAATTAGGAGCACCTTAAAAAAATACATCAGAGTTAAAAAAGAAAGAAAGAAAAGGGCTTGCTGCTCCGTGAGATGTTATTTCTGCACACCCTGCACAATCTCAACACAGCAGTGGGCTGGATTTGAAAACAGTATGACCCAGACACATAATACCAAGTAAACTACACTTATAAATACTAATATTGTGAGATCCATGACAAAGCAATTAGAGTTCTAAATCTGTGATAAGGACCATATTATCTTTAGGGAATTCCAAACAAGGTGTGGATACTCCCGGAAGTACAGAAGAGTGAATGCTTCCATTTCAGTCTGGTTAAGGCTGAGTGGCGCAGAACAGTTACCTGCTTACTGACTGCACCCTTGACCCCTCTCTGACTTCCCTAAAACAAAATACTGATGCACTCCAAGCACTCTAATTTTCAATGGCAGATAGTAAGTTCAAGGTTAGCCTGGGCTACAAAAACCTCAAATGATGGATGAATATATAAATAAGCAAAAAGAGTGGACTTGAGCATAAGAAAAAGGGAAATCGAAGTGTCTACGTGGAAGTATCTCAGGTTCAATTTATCAGCTTCCACAGCAGACTTCAGAGTGCAGGCTGACAGAAACTGACTTACACTTCTTTATTGGAGCCTTGTTACGTGGGTAGAGTTTTAAAATGTTCTTATAATCCCCTTCCCAAAGCAACTGGTAAACGTGAACACTTTGGACATTTTTGATATTTCAGAGGTGAGAGCCCTTCTCTCTTGTGTTTACACATACAGATGTACACATTCTCCTGAACTGTGTGACTTCATGTAAGTAAGCACTATACCCATGCTGTGCTGTGCATCTTGCACTGTGGTAGGCTGTGCCAGGCTAAGCAGAGCTGTGTGCAACTGCACTGTGGTAGGCTGCTTTCTGTTGCATCCCTATTACTAAAATCTTGCTTGTCAAGACCACACACAATTTATTCTTCCTCCTCTGTGAAATCTCCAGATGCTACAAGAGAGAAGTAATTTCTTCCTCTAAATTCCTATAAATAATTTTCACTGGACTTTCAGCATTTGGCACCTTTACTTACCATTTCATGAGTGTGGGTAGAAACAATACCCAGCCAAGGCTTATGCAGTGTAGAGTACTAGAGATCTTACTGAGAATGATTACCATGCTGTGAAACTCTGGATTGTGGGGTGGCAAATTAGAGCCTGTGATTATTAACCCTGATTGTCAACTTAATAGAATTTAGAATCACCTAGGAGACACATCTCTTGGTGTGTCTGTGAGAGATTATCCACATTAGGTTAACTGCGGTGGGAGGACTCATCCTGAATGTGCACAGCACCATTCCATGGGGCTGGGGTCCCAGACTGAAAAAAGAGAAGTCAGGGAAGGAGAGATGATGGCTCAGCAGTTAACAGCACTGCTCCTGCACAGGATCTGAGTTCAGTTCCCAGCACCCACACGGGGCAGCTCACTTCTTCCTGCAACTCCAGATCCATAGGATCTGACTTCCTCTTCTGGGCACTGCATGTACATACCCAAGCAGACACACACACTCTCTCTCTCTCTCTCTCTCTCTCTCTCTCTCTCTAATCTGGACTGATAACTCCCATTGGATTTGAGTATATATCAAGTTGATGGGAAAAGAGTGTTCTGGGGTTTACAGGGCTCTTTTCAAATCCAAATTAACCTTTCTTAGAAGTATGTAATCAGAACATCTAACATTATTGCAAAATATTATTTGTCTCCATGGGAACATGTTTTTAAAATTTGTTTGAGACACAAACACTATTCTAAAATTTCCTCCACATTCTAACTACCTCGTTAAATCATATCACAAGACAACTTGACCTCCTCCCCTCCATTGTGTATGAGGTCACAGAGGGGATGTCATGAAGTTAACAGGTTTTGCAGAGCAACATCAAAGATGTTAGTTTAGCAAATGAACCATAAACTCCAAAATAATGCGTTTCCAATATTTTTAAAACTTTTGTTATTCTTTTAAAGATATGTATACAGGCACGTGTGGAGGCTGAAGGACAGCCTTGGGTGTGACCCTCGGGAACAACATCCACTTCCTTTGAGGTAAGGGTCCTCACTGGCTTGGAGCTCACCAATCATGTGAGATTAGCTGGCCAGCCACAATGCCTGGCGTTTTTTACATGGGTTCTGGAGACTAAACTCAGTTCCTTGCATTTGAAATAAAGCAAAATAAAACACAAGCACTTTACCAACTGAGCCTCACCACCATATCCAATATTTGTTCCCCGACAAAGCACATCATCTGTAGGAGGAAATTCACCCTTCTCAAGTTTCTGTAGAATGGGGTGCGAGAAAGCAGTCTCGAGCATTTGCTTGCCACCTGCGGCTCGCTCCAGCTCACTCTTTACCTCAGTCCAGCCTGAAGTCACCTCCGTGTTTTTCAAGCATTCCTACAGCTTTTCCAAACCATCCTCTACAATATTATGACTTCAGCTTAACAGATACAAACAAAACTGCTCCAGGGAGGTCTAGAGCTCACTTATCAAAGCCTTTGTTGGAAAGAATACAGAAGACTGGTCATTCAAAGACCAGGAAGCACTAGGGTTTGAGGACAGCCCACCCCCCAAAGCCCCTGTGCAGAACAGACATTGCGCATGTGTATTCAATGAGACAAGGAAGAGTAGAGGATGTGGCGCGCACAGCATGTCCTGGTCCCTTTATCTTCCGGCACGGCCTCCTGGCAGGCAGGACAGAAGTCCCTGTGCTCCTCAGTCTCCACGCCTACAAGTCTGCTCCTGTTCCAAGCGGCTAGCCCATGCACAAAGACAACTAAAACTTGGCCATGTTTGACACCAGTTTTAGTAGAGGAGATTGAAAATAAAAATGAAAGGATATTACCGGCTACTTCCTGCTAGTTCTCAAATCTCTGTGTAAGGGTTTTCTTTAAGTCAAAATAAGTTTTGTGCACCCCTATCTTACCTTTCGAAGGAACTCTGGTTATTTTTTTCTCTAACAAATTTAATTTGGGCTATGCATATATATTTTTATGGTTGAAATTACCATCAATTTCATTTACTTCTTTTTGCTAAAGCAGGTAACATGCCAAGTAGCCGTTTTGAAGCAGTCTGCAGTTATGAATGATTGGGACCGGGTATGTTCAGCTGCCGGCTGCCAGATTCATCTCCAACGTTCCTTGTCTTTGCGTGGGCTGCCTCCTTGAATGACAGGCGCCTCACACTGCTACCAGGCAGGAAACACAGACAGCTGGGCTGGAATTGTGAGGGTTCAACAGAAGGCTAAAAAGAGACCTTCTCTACATACGACAGCTACCCAGCTCTGGGACCCTTCGGACTCTGCCACTATCAGCAACCACCAGTGTTCATGGAAAATGAATGCTTTGAAAACTCAAGAAAAAACTTCCAAATTTTGGGCTGCTATGCCTTTGGGATTCTCTTTGTAATTTATAACACAGTTTAAAAGGTATTTTTAACCCTGTAATTATTTGTTTTCTCAGCTTGTTTCTTTTGCTTTGTACAAAAGATCACTCTGACATTTTAACTTCTGGTTGTTAGCCTTAGCCTTTAATAGCTGTGCTATCCCTCCAGCCCCACTCTGACATTTTAAACTCAGGAGAATGCTAGAGTTTGAGTTAGAGCTAATTATACAATGTTCTCATTAGCAAAAGGTATCAGTCGGCTACTCTGTACTAATTCAGCAGTACAATATAATTTCTAAAAGAATAGTAATTCCCTTACTTGGGAAGTTTTTCCAGCACGGTCTTCAGTTCTTCACAAATGAGCTTGACAAGCCCGTTCTTTATGTTACTGTATGAAACGTCAATCATGAAGATAAAGGCTGGTGGGTTGGGAGGCTTGTTCTTCTATAGGAAAGCAAAACATCGCATAAACAGATATGAAGTTAGTATATTTCATAATCAACTTTAGACAGTACAAACTCTTGAACACTCATATGTTTTGTTCAATATTTAGGATATAACATTTGTGGACCCAATAACTTTCTAGGAAACAGTCCCTGACTATATATA